AGCGCAGAGGGGAGGAGAAGCCGAGCTGCGCTGGCACCGAGCCGGTCCCTGTCCCCAGGGATGGCAGCAGGTCCTTGTCACCCGCCACAGCGCTGCCCAGCCAGGTTGTGGCCACAGCCACAGCACCTCCTCATCCACAGCCCTCTTCCTGCCCAGTGGCCAAGCCATCCCCAGCAGTATTCCCCATCCCCTGGCCAGCCCCACAGGGAAAAGCCGTGCTCTTACCGCTCAATGATGTCAGCGATGGTGCAGGCGAACATGAGGAGCCCTTCTGGCATCTGCAGGGCCACTGGGAAGAGAAACAGCCACGGGGTTAGGAGACATCCCAAAGTGGGGATCAGCTCAAGGTGCAGCCACAAACCACCCTCCCCAGACCAGCCAGGTGTTGGCCAAAAACCCGTGTGGCTCTGGCAGCTGGGGTGCAGCCTGCCCTGCCTTGGGCTGCATCCACACCTCATCCCTCTCTGAACCCGCTGACACTGCTGCTCTCTCCCACTTCCCACTGTAATGACTTCCAGATTTTAATTATGTGCTGCACAGCAAAAGGTACTTTCTTCTGTTTATTTAAAACCTGCTCCTAATAATGTAAACGTGTGCCCCTGGTTCTCCTGGTACAAGAAAGAGTGAATAATCATCCCCTGTTCAGCCTCTCCACATCATTCACAATTCCACATCCCTATCATATCCCCTTTTGTTCACCTCTTTTCCAAGCTAAAGGATCTAAACCTATTTAATCTCTCCTTATACAGAAGCTGCTCCAAACCTTTGATCATCCTCAGTGCCCTTCTCCACACCTCCCTCGCAGCTCCTCTCTCCATTTCAGGAGGGTGGCCAGCAACAGCCGCAGCGTTGTGCCTTGCAGGAATTTATTCAACAACAAATTCATGTTTCCTCATTTGCTCCCTCCTCAGAGAACAATCAGAACAATCCCCATTCCTCCAAAGGACAGCAAACTGCCCAGTGCCTGGGCTCCACGGGGTGGTGGGGAGGAGCAGGGATCATGATGGAGGAGGTAAATGGAGGAGGCCCCATTAATCCTGTTGTTCTTTCACCTCCCAATCCCACTAAGATATCCCAGCTTCCGTGCTATCTATCCAAACACTCTCTCCAACAAAATCCCTGTGCTTCCAGGCCCAACCCAGGCCAGCGTGGAGCTGTGTGAAGGCCTGGCTCAAATCAGGCTGATCCCACCCTGTTCCAACCTGCAGGAAAGCTGCACATGTTCTGCCAGCAACCTGACCTGGCAGGGATGAGGTTCCTTATCCCAGCATCCCCTATTGAGCCGATTTGAGCCCATTTTGGCCCATTTGGGGCTGCCCTCCACCCCAGATCTGCAAAGAGCAGCTCGGCAGGAGGTCACTCTCCGCCATGGGGAAAGGGGGTGCTCCCCAGCCCCCCAAAGCCCGCAGCAGGCCGGGCACAGGCAGGGCTGGCTGCAGCCCTGTGGGAGGCTGCGTTCCCCCAGCAACGAGCCCCTGGCTGCTCTCTGCACACGCGGATTTTTAAATCCCAGCACGGCTGGCTGCCTGATGGGCTCGGCTCCCAGCTCGGAAGCCTAAATCCCAGCCGCATATTTACATTTAATTAGGAGGTGCCAAGCGGCAAAACACGGCGAGGAAAGGCAGAGCCAGCACGGCTGGGCGGCCCCGCCGTGTCCTGCTGGGACAGGCCCAGCCCTGACTGCCACCCCAGAGCCGGGATGGGCAGCGCAGCCCCACACCCTGCGGCCCTCCAGCATGGCAGCCGCGAGCAGCTCGGCCTCCAGAATATCCTGCCAGCCCTGGCAGCTCGGTGGCAGCAGGCAGAGCCGTTCCCAGGTGGATACAAAGCGTTGCAAACCCGGCTGTGCCACAGCAGCAGCCCCTGCATGCAGGTGAAGGCAGGGTGGGGACGCTGGTGACACCCGGGGATGGAGGGGGAGGCTCCCAGCCCTGCTCCCCCGAGCTGAGCACACACCTGAAGGCTCCACGATCACTCCCTGCTCCTCTGAGGAAGGTTCAGAGCAGGGAGCAGCATGGCCCAGCTCCCTGCCAGCCCCACTCGGTGCCCGGTGCTGTGGGGCTCCCCCGTGCCAGCGCCAGCAGCGCGTCAGGAAAGCGCAGGGAGAGAGGAGAGAGGCAAGAGGAGCACAGCAGGGACCTGGCTAGCATCCCAGACACATCTCCAGGCTGACAGGTCCACGCAGCTCAACCTGTCCTGTCCAATGTGATTATAATCCAGAGATACAGATCTATTAACCCCCCTCGAGAGGAGCAGAGCTCGCCAGCACAGAGCTGAACACACCGAGGGCACAGCAGCAGCTCAACCCCAGCCTCACCTGCCCCACAGGAGGGGCTCAGCAGCACAAACCAGCCCCAAACCCGCTCATGCCCCGGGGCAGCGCTCACCCTTCCTGGCCCGAGCCTGCCGGATGCGCCACACGGTCTTGGGGATCTCGAAGTTGTAGTTGGGGGGCAGGGCCAGAGCCGCCTCCCGCAGCTCCGCGTTGCCCAGGATCTCCTCGGGGATCTGCTGGGCCACCTGCCGGGCTCGGGCTGCGGGACAAACGGGGAGGGACCGAAAGGAGCGGTCAGAGGGCACGGCACGGGCCACCGTGCTGTCCTCGGGTCACTGCTCACACCCCTGGGGACAGTGGGAAAAGGGCCGGGGTCCTGCCCTGCACGCTGGGGGCAGATTGCTCTCGTTTTTTGACGAAAACAAGGCGGATTTTTTTAGCCCAGAAAGCACCGCAATAACTACATGAAACCCTATGAGTGCAGCTGGCTGAACCCACAGCGAGGGCACAGCACGCACAGCCCCTCGAGGCTCATCACCAGCACCCCGCTGACACCGTAGTGCACTCCGGTTTCCCCAGCGAGGGGATCCCGTTATCCCACCGGGAAGGAGCCGCCCGGTGCCGGCTGAGCCATCCCCGGGAGCCTCATCCCGAAGCCGCCCCCCGACAGCAGCCGCCCCCCTACATCTCGGCGATGCCAGAGTGCAGCGGGGGAGTGACAGCAGGGGGATTATTCACTATTTCCAGCCCAACACCGGCGCTCACGAGCCACCGAACCCTCCCCGCACGGCCCACGGCACAACCGACAAAGGGCCAGCTGGGCCGGGCCGGCGGCGGGGGCGGCCGCGACGGTGGGGGAGCCACCTCCCGCCACCGGCCGGGCCTCCCCCGTCGAGGCAAGCAGCACAGCGGCCGGTAGCGGCAGCAGAGCCCCGCGCAGGAGCGGTCTCAGCGCACCTTTGGCCGGCACCGGGGCCGCGCTCCCGGCCCGCACGGGGGCCGCCATGGCTGTGCGCACGTGGGGGCGGAAGGCAGCACTAGGCGATCCCCGCGCAAGGCCGGAGCAGCTGCCGGCCGAGAGATCGAGCTCGGGAGCGCACCGGGCGGGCCCCGACGGGACGGGACGGGCGGCGCGGACAGGCGGGGACCGAGCGCTCTCGGCACGGTCCCGGCGGGACGCTGGGAGTGCAGTGGGGTGTGACAAGCGCTGTGATGGCGGGGCTGTCCGCCCTTCACGTCGGGGATGTGGTGCCATCGCATCCCTCGCGGTGCTGAGAGTTTCAGGGTTAACCTGTCCTAACGTTAACACGGGGACGGGACTGGCACCGTGTGTGACCCCCTCATTCTCCTACGAAGCATGGGGCAAAAGGGACCCGAGGGTAATGGGGACCCCATGGAGATAACGGGGGTCCCGACGGTGCAGTGAGGACAGCGGTGCTCCCTGTGGAGTAACGGGACACTCTTGGGACAGCGGGGATAACGGGACCCTCGATGGGACAGAGGGAAAGAGGCAAAAGGGACGTCGAGAGACAGCAGGGACAGTCCGGGGTCAGCGGGGACCTCCAGGGGACGATAGAACCCCGAGGAGGCAGCGGGGACCCCCCGAGGAAAGCGGCCATCCCGGCGGGGCGGTGGGGACAGCTGCGCTCCCGGGGGGATAACGGGGAGGAGGCGGGAGGGACTGCCCGGGGACAGCGGGGACAGCTCGGGGACACCGGGGTGTGGGGACCGCGGCGGAGAGTGCGGGGACAGCAGGGATCGGGACACAGAGGGGACAGCAGGGATCGGGACACAGAGGGGACAGCGGCCACCGGGAGGCAGAGGGGACAGCAGAGCCCCCCGGTGACCCCGGTGGGACGGCGGGGACGAGAAGGGGCGGAGGGCACGGTAGGAGCGGCTGGGACCGTGCCGGGGCGGCGGGGACAGCGGAGACCCGATCGGACGGCGACATCGCGGCAGGACACGGCGGGCAGAGGGGACGATACGGGGCCGAGGGGACGGACGGTCCCCGGGGAGCGGCAGGGACGGTGTTGGGCAGGCGGGACAGCGGGGACAGCCGTGATCACGGCAGGCGCGGGGCGGCGCGGCGGAGCCTCGGTGCGATAACGGGGCACACCGTGCGGACGGCGACAGCAGAGGGGACAGCGATGTGCCGGGGGTGACAGCCGGTCCCGGGGGCACCGCAGAGCTTGGGGAGGGCGGCGCTGGGCCGTTCCCCCGGCGGGGCGGAGGGAGGGCGGCGGCGCGGGGAACGGGAGCACCGGCACTTTCACGAACTGTCCACGGGAGGCGGGAGAGGCGGCGGCGGCGGCGGAAGGGGGGGCCCGGGGGGGGCTCGCCCAGCCCAGCCCAGCCCAGCCCGGCCCAGCCCTGCCCGCCCCGTCGCTGCCCCGCCCCGCCCCGCCCTGCCCAGCCCTGCCCGCCGCTGCAGGCAGCGCGGCACCGGCACCGGGCACCCCTTTATAGGCTCTGCCCGAGGGGGTGGGGGGCGGCGGCGGCCCCAGCCCCGAGGGGGCGGCTCCCCCCTAAAAGCCGGCGGCGGGACGCGCGGCGGGCAGAGGCGCGGCCGGCGCTCCCGGCGCTCCCCGGTGCTCCGGGGCCGCCGCTCCCCGGTGCCGCTGCGGCTCGGCCCGCCATGCCCCCGCGGGGGCCGCTCGCCCGGGCTCCGGCTCCTTGTTCCCGGTACAGCAGCAGCAGCCGCCGCCGCCGCTACCGCTCGCCGCCGCCGCGCCCGAGGCTCTGAGCGCCGCCGCCGCCGCCGCCGCCGCCGGGAGACCGCGCCCGCCCCGGCTGCAAGATGCTCCGCCAAGGTGAGCAGCGCACCGGGAGGGCACCGGGCGCCGCGGGCACCGGGGGCAGCGGGGCCGGCCTCGAAGTTTGTCTCCCCGCCGAAGTTGGGGCCGCGCCGCCGGGCGCCCCCCGCCGCCACCGCGTTACCGGCGCCGCCGCCGAGGCTCGGGCACCCCCCGGGGAGCGGCACCGGCGGGAGGGCAGCGCGCCGGGGAGGCGGGAGACCGGGAGGAGCGACGGGAGGCAGGGCAGGCGCCGGGTCCCGCAGGACCGGGGACGCGGCGGGTCCCGCGGGCACCGGGCTACGGCGGGTCCCGGAGGCAGCGGGCATGCGGCGGGAGCGGGGGGGGCTCGGTGCTCGTTCCTCAAAGCGAGGGAACGGCGAACGGGGCTCGCCGGGGAGCGCGGGGGGCTCGGCGGGGAAGTTGGGGCTCGCCGTCCCGTTCGGCCCCCCCCGAGGAGAATCGCTCCGCTGTGACATCACGCGATTTCCATGGCAACCGCCTGGGACATCATCGGGGAGCGTTGTGACATCACGGCCGGGGGAGCCGCCGGCCCTCCCGGGGGGTCCGGGACGGTGGGGAGGGGGGGGGGCAGCACCCCCGGTCCCGCCGCACCGGGGCCGGTCCCGGGAGAGCTGCGGACAGCGGTGACATGGGGGGGACCCGGCTGGACCCCCAGTGCTGCCCCGTGCCCCGGGGAGGGGGCGACAGCACAGCCCCGGGCCCAGCCCTCGCCAGCGGCAGCACATGCCCCTCTCTGCGACGAGGCTCGGGCACAGGGGAAGGTGCCAACACTCTGCGTGCAGCCCCTGGCGTTGGGGTGCAGCCCCCCGGGCAGGGCAGAGCCCCCTGTGCCACCCCCGAGAGGCTTTTCCCGCTGGGGGAAATGTCACCTTGCGGCGGCGGGGCCTCGCACTCGGGTGCTCCTTCCTCCGGCTCAGCTTTGTTTGGTGTGTTAACCCAGCCCGGCTGATGAGTTGAGAACAATCCCCAAGCCTTTGGAGCTGTCCTGCTTTCCAGCCTCGATTCCCAGCCCTGCTGGAGGAAAAGCTTCATCCAGGCTGGGAAATGGGGAGCCTGAGGTGGAGGCAGGCAGCGAGGCTGCCGACAGGGCTGCATCCCACCAGGGGTAGCCTGTTAAGGTCAAGATCTACAGCTTTTCATTTGTGGAGCTAGAAAAACAAAATGCAAATTGAAGAGCCTGTGGGCTAAAGCAAAACCTATTCTTAAAGTTTTTCGTCTTGTTAAGCAAGGAAATAGAGTGCCAAATAGGCTTTGTTAAGTGGCAGTCTAATTAATAATTTAAAATCTTGTAGCTGTCTTTCATTAGAATTTATCTGTACATCAACCACAAAATCAGTCAAACACACTCATTTATAAGTTAATACCGTTCCTGAATAATTCAACAGGCAGTTAGAGGAGGCCTCCATCCTGCCACAGGTTCTCCCCTCCCTGCCTCACCGTGGCCAGGTGTCCCTGGGCAGGGCGTCCCTGTCCCCAGCATTTCCCCCAAGCAGGGTGTGGAGGGGACATCCAACATGTGAAGCAAGAGGACAAGGGGACAGCTGCTGCTCGGGCACTGGGGTTGGGCCAAACCCCTCTGTGGGGCTTTGCGGAGGCTGATTTTTGGATGGTGGCAAGGTGGGTGGCAGTGCGGGCTGATGGTGGCACTGCCACCACCTTCTATGTCCCACTGCCAGGGACCAGGCTTGAGGCTGGGGCCATGGCAGAGATTGAGGCAGCAGGAGCTGTGCATGGTTGATACCTCCAAGGGAGGCAGCAGGAGCTGTGCCATGGTTGTCACCTCCAAGGGAGGCAGCTCTAAGGGGACAGCTTCACACACGGTGTGCAGCAGGATGGTGGCAGCATGGCTGGGTGAGTGCTGCTGTTCCTGAGGGCATTTTGGGCCTCTTGCACCCCGTGAGCTTCATCTGTGCAGTCACTGGTGGGGTCCAGGGTGGGCTCTGTGCGGTGGGATGTCACTGGTGTGTGGCAGAGGGTGACAGTGTGGGTGCAGCCCCATCCTGGGTGAGGGTGTCACAGCCTTGGCCGCAGGCAGCCGCAGGCAGGAGCGCGACGCTGGCGATGCAGGAGAAGGAGATTTCCAGGTCAAGGATGGCACCAAGGTCATGGGCAGCCACATCCCTGTCCCTTCCATCGCTCATGCCATCAGTGGAGTGTCCAGCCTCCATCCCTGCCTGCCAGGGCAGCAGCCAGTGGGCAGGGTGCAGGCGCAGGCTGGACTGCGGTTCTTGCGCCGGGGAGCCAAGAGCCCAGAAACCTTTCTGCTTATAAAAGTTTAATTTCATAAAGAGCTGATAGGAAGCCACAAGCTCTCTGTGCCCGCTGAAGCAAGGGAGGGGGTCAGGATGTGGCCCAGGCTGTCCCTGTGGTGGTGCTGGGGGAGAGAGGAGGGCTCAGCAGATGAGACCTGCCTGGACCTGGAGTCAGATTCAGGATGTGAAGGAGCCGTGGCTGCTCAGTGACCTGCACTGGTGGAGCCTGGCAGGGTCAAAGCCATGGCCATGCTTGGCTGGATGTTATTCCCACTTTTTGCCTAAAATGCCACACCCGGTGCCCTGCAGTCCCATCTGGGTGCTGGAAGCTGTGTGTGACACTCCAGGTGGCCTGGAAGCACTGCCCTAAAAACATCAGTGAACCTGCTGGGGAGATGTAAAAAGATGCATTTTCCATCGTGATTTCACACCCATCTTGCCCTGAAGCAGTGCTGGAGCCAGTGGCACAGGCCAGCAGCAGGGGCAGGGGGGCTCCATGGTGTGCAGGATGAGGCCACGAGTGGGATGTCATTGCCTTGGGGCCGGGCAGGAGCTTGGGCTGCTGGAAACCGCTGATGGGATTTGACAGCAAGAGCCAAAATCTTGTTTGAAGGCAACAACCAGGCAGGGAAGTGTGGGAGCCCGGAGGGACGTGGTGGTGGTGGCCAGGTGTGACCAGGGCTGGCTCCCACTGGGGTGTCCCCTGCTCCTGGCAAGGGAGTGTAGAGGCAAAGCCCCCCTCACAGAGAGTGACCCAGGACACAGCCACCTCAGCCCCACATCACCTGTCCCACATTGGGGCACCCCGGGGTGACACTGCCACTCACCCACCCCAGAGAGCTGCTCCAGCCTCCCCCAAGCAGCCCAAAAACTCGGGCTTTGTTTGCCAAGTGCAATTCCAGGGTTCAGCCACGATCAATAGAGACTCGGGTTATTAAGAGCAGATTATGTTTGCAGAGCACTTTGGTGGAGCAGCAGCAGCTCAGGCACCCACACCCCAGCAGTGGTGGCTGCTGTTTGGTTCCCAGAAGGTTGGGGATGGGTGAGGTGCTGCCCTCATTCAGAACCCACCAGAGGAGGCTGAAATCTGATTTAGGAGCAGCTGCAACAAGTGGGAGGCTGCAGGGAGAGCCACGAGGCCGGGAGCAAGGGGGATCCTGGTGGGAGTCAGTGAGGAGGAGCAGGGTGCAGGGCACGGCCTCGATGGCACCACTGGCATACAGGAGCATCCCTGTCCTCCCCTGCGAGGCCGCTCTTCCCCTGCTATTTTGGGCGAGGCTGCTCGAGCCCAAGGTGGAAAGAGCTGGCTCAGCCTCAGGATCCTGTGCCAGCAGCAGGGCCGGTGCTGTCCTCGCTCCGGATGTCAACACCACGTCCCATCTCCCGAAGGGAGGAAGCGCCAATCCCACCGATCCCGCCGTGCCATCCCTGCGGAGCAGCATCTCCATGGAAACCCACAGCCCGGCAATCAGAGGGGGGACACTTTTAGGAGTATTATTTTTACTGATGGCAAATGGTGAAGGCTCGCTGCTGACAGAGGAGATGAGCCCATTCCTGGGCATCGCCTGCTTTCCCCAGGGCCGGTTTTGGTTTTTCTCCTGCTTTCCCTGCCGGGGGCAGGTGCTGATGGGGTGTTAAGTGCGGGCATGGCGAGCGGCAGATGCAGGACGGGGAGATGCGGGGGGCAATCTTCTTTGCACAGATTAGGATTTGGGGGTTATTAAGCGGAAAAAGCTCCATTTGGTGTAGAAAGCTCCTTTTCCTTTTGAACAGCATATGTGCCCGCTGGCTGCTTGCTTCCCGGCGGTGCTGGCACAGCGGCTCGGAGCCGGCACGGCAGCTTGGAGCCCGCCCAGCTTTGGTGAGCAGCTTTTAGCGATGCTCCTGCCTGGGCCGGCAGAGCCGTGACCGCTCTGCTGCCTCACAGTGCCAAAAGCGGCCGGGGGGATTTGGCCCTGGAGCGGTGATGCCACAGCAGGTCCGTGTAGACCCAGCACATCCCAGCGGATCCCGTGTGTGGAGAGGGAGCGGTGCTGGAATCAGAGGGTGTCAGAGGTGCTCCACGTGCTCCCGAAGTCCCGACATGGCCATCCTCACCCGGGGAGGATGCAGCCGCTGTTTACTGGGAGGGAATTTGGCTGCTGCTGCTCTGGCAGGGCTCCGCTCCTTTCGGAGCAGCCCTGCAAGCGGATGGGAGGTGCCAGCGGCTCCGCCAGCCCCGTGTGCCGCACTTGGGAACCGCTCTCTATTTTTTTCTATTTTTTCTCCAGCTGCATTTGCACCGGCGTGCGTTTGCATCGGTTTGCTCGGGGAAACCCCATCCCGGTGAGCGCGGGGCCCCCACGGTGCCACCCGAGGGGCGCGCAGCCCGTCCTTGGGCGCCGGGAATGTCACCCGAGAACGTCACCGGGCTGCTTTCGGCCCGAGGTGACCTGGGTGAGGGTCTTGTCCATGAGACCTTCACCCAGCTGGGCATCCATGCGCGTTCGGTGCGTGCCAGCACCGGGCACATCCCTCCTGATCCCCGCGGGGGGAAGGCAGAGGGGCACAAAAGCTGCTGGATGCATCCGCTCCTGCATCCCTGAGCATCCCTCCTTCCCTCCCCGCCGCCTGCAAATCCGGCATCCCATCGGGTGCTGGATCCAGGCACCCTGCGGGAGGCACCCCCGAGCCAGCAGAGGGGCTTGGGATGATCCCCCCTCGGCAGGGATGTGCCGGGGTGTTTGTGCTAACAAGCCCCGG